GCTTCTACAACTACCTTAGTATTCAATCTATTCAGTTATCTAAAACTTTTCCATATCATATCAGTCAGTGCTTACTAGAGAAACAGATTTAGCTCAAGATATGCAAATATATAAGAATTTACAAGATTGGCGTACAGTGGCTGCCCATGGACTTAGGTGTGGAAGAGTGCAAAAGGACTGTCTGTGTGCTGGGGATCTGAAGGATTCAGTCAAAGGTCTGCAGCTCATTGTATTGTCCTGCACAAGTCTGTATCAGGAAGCCAAAGAGTCTGCAAAAGAAGGCTGAAGATGACGTCCAAAGAGAAGGTAAAGACTGGAGGTCCTCCAAAGAAACAGAAGCAAGCCTGCCTCCTTCATTTCCCTTTTATACCATTCTGGTTATACTCCTCCCTTGGATGGGTCTTCCACACTCAGAACTATGCTGCACTAATCTAATTGGGTGTTTCCAACTCAAACTGACACAATAAATTCACTATCACACCTAGGAAGGGCGTAACTGAGTCAAATAGAATTTCTACTTTTAGTTTTTTGAGGAATCTCCACACTAATTTCCATGATGGTAGTACTAGTTTACATTCCCATCAATATTGTAGTAGAGTTTCTTTTCCCCCATAGTCTTACCAGCATTTGTTATTGTTAGATTTTTTTCTTTATGACAGCCATTCCTTCTTGGGTAAGATGGTATCTCAGTGTAGTTTTAATTTGCACTTCTCTGTTGGTAATGATGAGCATTTTTTCATGTATTTATTAGCCATTTATACTTTTTCTTTTGAGAAGCATCTAATCTTTCAGTTGTCCATTTTTGGATTGGGTCTTTTATTTTGAGGGGTCTAATATTTTTAAGTTCTTTAAATATTCTTGATGTTGGTCCTTTGTCCAAGGAGTAGCTGAAAAAAAAATTTCCCATTCTTTAGATTGTCTCTTCACTCTGTTGGTTGTTTCCTTTGCTGTGCAGGAATTTTTAATTGGATATGATCCAATTTATTGATTCTTGGTATTATTTCCTGTGCCATTTGGGATTCTGTTCAGAAAGTCCTAGCCTAGGCCTATGTCTTCCAGAGTAGTACTTATTTTATACAAGCAGATTTTAAGCCTTTCTGTTTTAACATTTAGATCTTTAATCGATTTTGATATTAGTTTAGTATGTAGTGAGGTATATGAGTCTAGACTCAACATTCTGCATATGGATATCCAACTTTCCCAGCACTATTTATTAAAGAGGCTATCTTTCCTCTAGTGTATGTTTTTATTTCCTTTTTCAAAGATCCAATAGCTGTATGTGCCTAAGATTGTTTATCCTTCTTCTATTCTGTTTCATTGATCCAAATGCCTGTTTTTTCACCAGTACCATCCTGTTTTAATCACTGTAACTTTATAGTATAACTTTAAGTAAGGGATTGTGATACCACCTGGTTTGTTTTTGTTACCCAGGATTGCTTTTGCTGTTTGGGTCTCTTCTAATTCTATATACATTTAGGATTGTCTTCCTTAAGACAATCTCTGTGAGAAATGACATTGGCATTTTGATTGGCATTGCATTAAATCTGTAAATCAGTTTTGGAAGTATAGCCATCTTGATTATGTTCATTTTTTCTACTAAGGAACAGGGAATATTTTTCCATTTTCTGATGTCTTTCTCAATTTTGTTTTTCAGACTGATGTAATTTTCATTGTCAAGGCCTTTCACCATCTTAATTAGGTTAATACTTAAGTATTTAATTTTTGATGCTATTGTGAATGGTATTGCTTTCCTAATTGTTTTTTCAGTGCATTCATCATTAGTGTAAAGAAATGCTATTGATTTTTTTTTTGGTACCAGGGATTGAACTCTGGTCCTTGCGCTTGCGAGGCAGGTGGTGGAACCACTGAGCTAATTCCCCAGCCCAAAATGCTATTGATTTTTGTGTTTATTTTCTTTTGCCATTTTACTTTCTTTTTGTTCTAATCAATTGCTAGCCCTACCTGATGCATTTATTTTATTGGAATGTTTGGTATCGTTAGCTTCATTGTCTCCTTCTAGCATGACCTCGAGAGTTTTTTTATGTTGGTTTGGTGATCATGAATTTGTTTAGGTTTTCTTTATCAAGCTAGTATCTTATTTCTCCATCAATTTTGAAAGATAATTTTGCAGGATATAACAGACTGGGATGAAAGTTGTTTAAGTGCATGAAACACTTCATTCCATGCTCTCCTTGCTGCTAAGGTTTGGGTTGAGTAATCTGTTGTAATTCTGATTGGTTTTCCTTTATAGGTGAGTCATTGCCATTCTCTAGCAGCTATTAAGATTCTGTTCTTGTGTTGTATTTCTGGTATTTTAATTATTATGTGGCAAGGAACTTTTTTTTCTGATCATAGCTATTCAGGGTTCTATTATATTGGACTTACCTGTATGTTAAATTCTTTTTCCATGTCTGAAAACTTTTCTGCAATTACTTGTGTAAACAGGTTTTGTATGCCCTTTGTGCCATCTTCTGTTTTTTTGATAATTCCAATTATTCTTATTAATACAAAAATGGACAAAGGATAAAAATAAGTAGATCAGAGATAAAGAAGGCATATGGCTAATATGTAAGGCAAAATTCAAGCCCACTAGTCTTCAGAGATATGCAAATTAAAACAATGAACTGCTACCTGACATCAATATGATGACACTTTTTATAAAGACATATGATTTCAAACTGGTGGTAGTAATAAGGGACAGGAATAACTTACTTTGCTGGTATGAGCATAGCCTCCTCTTCTACACCACAGGCAATCTTATGAAATTGGCTCATGTCTGAGGATTCCATGTATGGATAAGCATTCCAAAGAAACTTTCACACAGCCCCATAAAGGATATATGCCAGAATACTCACCATGGCATTTGTGCTACCAGGAAATTGGAGTGACCTGTCCATGTCACCCTCCAGTGCATACTCCTGTCTAACATAGACACCAGGACACCCGGACAGCTCTGAAACTGAGGTTCTAAAGAGATTTAGGCTCAGCCAATCCTATGCACTCCTGGGAAGCCAGAAGTAACACTCTTTTGCCACTACTCGTTTCCTGCTGGCAACACCACTGTGGAGAAGTTGGGTATCACCATGCTGGTATTAGCAAAAATAACCACGAGACATTGAATGGACTCCAAGAGGCTGAATACTGGACATCTGTCGGTGCTAGGGTAGGTGACAGCAAGGCTGGTGTGTTTCTAGAGCAGCAACAGTAAACAGCTGCCTCCTGATCAGGGTGGTCTTGGGTTAATGATGTTCAGGCAACTATTGGTAAAAGAAGAGAGAACAGGTCTCTCAGTGGCACTGAGGGTCTTTTCTCAAGCTGCCACCCAGAATCTGGTTTTTTTCAGCATTCTCAGTGATTCTGTAACAAATCCTTTTCTGTTAAAACTAGATTCAGTTCTTTGAATTGAAACTAAAGTCTGATGGATTTTACCAGGAGGGCAGAACTTTGTTGAGTCATCTCTTCCACCTTTTGCAGAGTTAATTTGCCATCAAAGTCCCTCTCACTCAGGCAGATCCATTCTCTCTTCTGTGTATTTCACAGGAGTTGTTATTTCTGGTGGAATTTCTTGCTTACGTCTCTGTCTTCCTCACTGGGGCATGCACTCTTTGAGGCCGGGCATGGGATCTTATTCATTTGTGTGATGCCAGTTGGCAACATTTCAGCCATGCTCCTTCCCAACTCAGGCCCTTTGCAGATATTGTACTGACCTACCTGGCAGGCTTGCCTACTCCTTTTCATCCCTTTAACTCATTTTTTTTTATTCAGGAAGACCATCTTGACAATGATTTACACTTTTTTTTTTTCTTTTTTTTGTACCAGGGATTGAACTCAGGTCCTTGCTCTTGCGCAGCAGGTGGCAAAACCACTGAGCTAAATCCCCAGCCCAACAAAGCTGGATTTTTTGGGGGGCGTACCAGGGATCAAACTCGAGTCCTTGCACTTGCAGGGCAGGCACTGGAACCACTGAGCTATAAAGGGTCATATCTATTTTTTTTTTTTTTTTAGTACCGGGGATCAAGCTCGGGTCCTTGCGCTTGCGCAGCAGGCAGCGAAACCACTCAGCTAAATCCCTGGCCCTGATTTACACTCTTTAATATAATGGCCACTAGTCACTTGTAGTTGTTTAAATTTATATTAAATGAAAACACAAAATTAATTGTCAATTCCACTGGCCACATTTTAGATAGATGCATATGTGGCTACTATAGAGGACAGGACAAAGTATAAAATACTTTGTCATCACAGAAAGTTCTGTGATCAGACAACATTGATCTCAATAAAGGAGGGCTCTATATTTTATACTTCTACAGCATGATGTATTTTTCCTACATAGCACTCATCAAAGGTAATAATGAATGAATGCCTAAATTGCAGGCTCCATTAAGACAGGAAAATGTCACTACACAAACAAGTACATCACAAGTAAGAGACACTAAGTAGTATTTGTCAATAATGAATAAATACTATAATTGTATTCCTTGTAATTATTTTGTGGAACTGGGGATTGAAGTCAGGTCCTTCACACTGAGCTACATCCCCCTCGCCTTTTTATTAAATTTTGAGTAGAGTTTTGCTAATTTTCCTGGGCTGGCTTTAACTTTCAATCCTCCTACCTCAGCCTCCCAGAATGCTGGGATTGTAGGTGTGTGCCACCACACCTGGGTCATAATCCTTGCAATTTGTAGTTCAGAGTCCAGATGTTATCTGTGGGTTTATGTAGACCCAAATGATTCTACAGTCAAGTTTTAGACTACTTTCTTCCCTTTTTCCTGAACATTTTGTTGTCTTTCCTGAAAAGAACAGTACAATAGTATTGAGCTAATGAGGAGCTGGGAAGTAGTACTTTGGTATTAGAAATGGATTATATTCCAAATATCAAACTGTGAAACACATGAATGGAAAAAATTGTGCTATTCTACCTATTCATGTCCATATAAATATTGGAGTGTTCATGATAACCAAAAGAAAAACTTTTAAAAAATAAGAAACACTTCAGTTAATTAGATTGATAATCATTAAATTTTTATTTTGCATTATGAGAGAGGTGAAAAAGTATAATTTATTCTTTTATAAGTTTGCAATAACATACTTTAAAAAGAATAAACAATAAAAGTAGATTAATGATTTCTTAAATGAATAAAAGTAGAATAAAACAATCAATTAAAATTGCAGCCATTATGTCTAGCAATGAATTACATGCAAAGTTTGGTAAGATTAGAAATATTGGCACTTGATGGTCTTAGAGCTTAGAAAAGTAAGCAGCATGTAGCATTGTTGCCCTACACTATCTAAGCAGTACCCTGATCACATCTTTATTCACTGGGATTTAGCTTTAATTAATACATCCACATCAGCTTTGTCTGCTTCTCCAAGACTTTTTTGATAGTTGTCAACAAGGACATTGTCTTCCTTCTTGAAGGACCTCTGAGAACCACCTTCTTTGTTAGTGAGTGAGCTTCCAAGGCTAATAAAATTGTGTGCCTCTTGTAGCTTCTTGAGCAGCCATTCCAGCCTCGCCTTGGTGGCCAGATGTTTGCTCATGTTGTGCATAAGCTGTATCTCACTCACAGATCTCTTCCTAGGAAGAACAGAAGCAGAGAGGGTTGTTCCTTTAGCTTCCAACCACCAAAATGTAAAGCCAACCTCAAAAGCCAATCCCATGCCTTTCTTCTCTACCCAGAAGAGACTCCAGGACTTACTTAATAGGTTTCCCATCTGCTTTTGTAAGAAAACAAATCGCAAGCATGACAATCATGACTTTAGCCATGGCTTTTGCAGACATCATCTTCACTAAAAAGAAAAGAAAATTTTAGTGTTCCAAATTATATAAATACATTTATAGTAGTTTTCATTTATAGCCTTATAGCCAATACCAAAATGCGACAGTTAACTAATTGGGTTGGTTTTCATGAGAGGCTTTCGAAATCAGCCTCTTCATATTATGGAAACATTAGTAACATTATACATATGTATTCTTTGAAAATTTAGAAAAATAACTTTTTTTTTCAGTACTGGAGATTTAACCCAGGGCCTTCACAGTGACACACTGAGCTATACTCCCTAGGTTTAAAAAAAATTTCTTTTTGAAATAAGACCTCACAGAGTCTATAATTTGCACACATTGTGCTCAAACTTGTGATCCTCCTTCCTCAGGCTCCCAGAGTGCTGGGGTCATAGGCAGGTACTATAAATGTGCCCAACTAACAGTGACTTTGATTTGCTTAGGTATCTTCTTGAGATTTCTTATGCAAGACTGAATTCATAAAACTTAAGCCACATGGGCTGGGGATTTAGCTCAGTGGTTCTGCCGACTGCCTCGCAAGTGCAAGGACCTGAGTTCGATCCCAGGTACCAAACAAAACAAAACAAAACCAAAAAAAAACTTAAGCCACATGATGAATGAAAAAGCTTTCTTTTGAGAATTTTTCTTCCATATTTTTTGGTTGGTTAATCATAAATGCTTGTAAGACACTTAAAATTTACTAGTCTTACCCTAATTACATAAATTGTTATCACTACTTATTGAGTTATGGTCTGAGTTTGAGGTTTTACTGAACATATACTTCTCCTATCATTAAAAATATGTACCAGGACTGAAGATTTAGCTCAGTGGTTTCACCGCCTGCTGCGCAAGCACAAGGACCTAAGTTCGATCCCTGGTACCAAAATAAATAAATAAATAAAATAAAATAAAATAAAATAAAATATGTACCAAAACATTTTAAAGCATCTAATTATTTGAGCCTTGGCTCTTAAAACACATCTGCTTCTTATTTGTTTAATTTACTGTACTAACAATTATGTATTTGTGTAAGTTTTAGCTCTTTATTCTTTTGCTCAGAAAGCTTTCTGTATTAATACAGAATATTTTCCCTTAATCTGCATTTCAGTAACTGCAAAGGCTATTATGAGAGAAGTACGTTTTCTAAATGCTCTGTGTTGTATCTATGACAGACACAATGGCTATCTTCTCCCATAAGGGAAATTGCATCAATTAGAAGTAGCATAAGAAATATAATCTGCTGCATTTTTTCACTGTGTAATATAAAGATATGGATAGAGCAACAAAGACAAATTTTCTTTTTGGGTTATATTAGAAAGAACCACTGAAAGACAGGGGTGCTGGTGTCTAATCCTAGCTTTATCTCATTCACCTCACACATCTCTACTTCATTTCCTTGTTCTTAAGAGGGACATAGACTTCTTATAGGATGTCTATGAAAAAAGAGCCAAAACATGTTATATTACCATCGTTAGAGCTCGTGTAAAATTTTCAGAAAAGAAAACTAAAAAAGTTGTCCTTTGTGCACAGGCAATACATATTTAGCAATCAGTGGGAGTTTTCCCAACCTCAATATATAGATTGAGCTCTTTATGAGCCATAAAATAAGCATCTAGATAAGGATACTTTGCCAGAAAAATTGAAATTTATTTAACAAATTTATATTTCACATCAAAACTATTCATTTACCACACTCTATTTTACTTCAAAATTTAGATAAGGAAACTACTAAAACATATCATACCAAGTGTTTATCATTTTTCTGTAATTTCAGATGTACTTTTTAAAAGTCAATGTATCTCAAAAGGCTTAAGTCACAAAACAAGTCTTTTCTTGGCATAAACTTATCCTTTGTTTTATGTTTAATTTAATTCAACCCCCCTTAATATTTTACCATGGATAAACAGTATGATATTTTGCACAAAATGATATACATTAAATACTTGCTTGGTTATGCCAAAAAACTCATGAAATTTAAAGGCAAAATTCAAAGATGAATTACCATATGATGAATTCAGACAAGATCCTCCTTTAGATGAACTAGCAGCTGATGCTATGTTAAAGTGGAGTCAACTTGAGAGAACTGGAGAATTGCTCTGCAGTCCCTTAAGGTGTGACTTTTATATATAGGTCTGCTGCTCAGTAAGAAGCTTTTTTATTGTTACAGATAATGTTACTCCCAATCTCTGGATCTCAACTATAGGGGCCAAAGCAGCCATGCACCCTCATTGGGTGGTGCCCATTCCTGAGATTTTGATAATTGGATAATAGAACCAAAACATTGAGGTGCTGGGTGACAGAATTACCAAAGAGTTCTAAAAATATTGAGTTGTACCAATAAGAAAAATTCTGATTTTCTTATGATATTGAGTGTAGGTTAAAAATTCTGATTCCAAAGATACAAGATAAAGTTATTATTTTATATAAAAATAAAATCTGAGGTAAAGGAAAGTTGTTATAACCACATTATTAGTACAATTGTTATGATAATGAATCATGTCTGCTATGCTTATTTTACAAGCCATTTTCAACAATCCATATCACTTTTAATATATTTTAAATGAGTATTTTGTTGTCTTAAAAATGTTTGAAAATGCTTTTAGTGCATAATTTTGAAAGCTTCAAAAGTAAAATTATATTAAATTCATTTAATTTTTATTTTATTCATGCATTTTATGGGTAGTAACATTTACTAAGCATTATGTATATTCCATACATCACATACATCACCCCACTAATTCTTTACAGGAGTCCAGTAAAGTATGTACTATTATCTTCATTTTTTTTTTCTTGAAACAAATTCTTGCTAGGTAGCCCAGGTTTGCCTTGAACTCATGGTCTTCCTGCCTCAGCCTCCCTAGTACTGGGATTACAATTGTGTATTGGCACACCCAGTTTATTAGTCCCACCTTCACTTGAATTAATTTAGGGTTTGAAGGTGGAGATGATGGAATTCAACGAATATCTTTATGACCCCGGAACCATTTTGATTATTACTATCCCTGTTTTCCCATTAAAATATAACCCTTCTTTGAACCTCAGTCTTGTTGACTTTACCTACTACTTTGCAACCTCATTACCCAAGGGTTAGGTCCTGATTCTCATCTTCTCCAACTCATGATTGAGCACCTGTTCCAAAACCGAAGAGAGGAATGATGCAACCACTTTTCTGATTTCAAATATTGCTACAGCCTGCTTCCCACCTATCAACAAAATCCCTTGAATATGCTTGACAAGGTAAGGGTGTTATTTAGCTTGTCTCCCAACAAAAGATCCATTTCCAGGATTGGGTCAGTTCTTGTAGCTCTGGTCCCACACAGGCTTTGTGTCACCCTCTTTCTGCTAACCATTACCAAGGTAGACTCTACCTCAGGTAAGTGTCAGTACAAGTTTGAGTGGTCCAGAATAAGAGATATATGTGTTAGCCCTGTTCTCCACATGAGCAGCTCTTACCTGGAGTCTACTCCAGGCTCCATTCTAGAAGCACTAGAAAGAAGCTGGAACATACCTTGAGGATATAAATCAGTCTGGTGAAAATATTGAAAAGCATCACATATGAGAAGTAGTTGAATAAAATTGGAAAAGTCTGAAGAAAGTCTTGGAATGACTATAAAGTTGTATTTCATTATTTATAGGACTATCATAAAGATGAAGTATTCTCTGTGATTTAAGAAGAAAGGGCTAGGCTCAATGGTTAAGATTATAAGGGGGCATATTTAGGCTCAGTTTGGATACTGTGATTGTCAAAGGTATCAAGTACCTTCTTAAACAATGAGCTCCCCAACACTAAAAGTGTTCAAGCATTTATCAGGTATATTATAGAAATTTATACATAGTAGAGGATTAAACTAGATAACCAAGAGGTCTCTTTCAACTGTAAAAATCTATTTTGATTTTTTTCCTTTTGTGGTCCTGAAGATCAAATCCAGGGCCTTGTGCATATAAGCACTTTACTACTACATCTTTGCCCTGATTTGATCTTTTAATGTCCTTTGATCTTTAATGACCTCTTCTGATGCTGTGTCTACATGATGTTTGTGTATCATTTTTCTGATATACTCTTGCAAATAGTTTGATCAACACATTTTTTTTTTAGTTATTGTAAACTAACATTCTGGTTTAGAGATTTTTTTTCTTCACTTCTTTGGGTAAGTTTGAAATAACCTACAACTTTCAACAGAATGTTGCAATTATTGCTTTTACTTTCTTCCTCCTATTACACTTACTTATCAAATTCTCACACTAAAGCAACAACATCGTTAAGCTATTTTTACAGAAAAATAAATGTAGACAATGATCTGTATAGACTATGATCATTCATTAATTCATCCATTTAAAAATGCATATTATCTGCCAGAGGCTGTGTTAATCACTAGATTATTGAGAGAGGATCTCTGTGCTTAAGTCTTACACATAATTGCAACATACGTGGCAAGGGTTCTAATAGAGATATGAATCAAGGCTTATAAAACCACAGAGAAGGGAGGGACAAAATCTTCCTGGAGTTGTTGGAAGCTGGTTTACTGAAAAGCTGCAGTTGATTATGAGTTTTCCACCAGAGAAAGTGAGGAAGGACAGAGAGAACAGCATGAGTAAAGGCTTGGAGTCCATGAAGTCTGCGCAGTGCTCCATGCAAGAAGAGAGTAGTGGAATACGTGAGGATATGGATGATTCTAAGGAAGTCAGTTAGGTATATTAGTAGAAGGCTAGTGTGTGCACACTAAGGAATTTTGTCTTGTAGTCCTCTTTAAACACTAAACATGTATGCAGTAGTAGTATTTCTATGTCCTTCAGATTTTTCAAAGGACTGCTTGACCTTCCCACAAAGAAGAGATAGAACTGCCAAGATCTGACACACAGTTTATCTGAAGCATCAGGCTGTGGGACTGCGGGCATTATTAGATAGAAGGAAATCATTTAGGTATGAGAAGGCTAAGGGCTATGTGGGACAGAAGCTGATGACACTGTTGGCAGAGAAGAGCTGAGCCCAGCTTTTCACTGTGAAAAGCTCAGCCTTTCTTACCATTCTAAAGCTTTCTGAAGCCACATCAGACAACCTGATGTCGTCTTTGCATTTAGGAAAGATAAAGGACCATGTGTTATGCACTGTTGCCTGCCAGACTTTAGGTCTTCATAGAATGGAAAAGATTTCTAGTTGTGCATATATTTCAGCAATGTTCTCTATGACCTAGAGAAAGAGCAACATGTCCTTAAGGCTTCCTCATTCAAAAGTTTTCCAGATCTAACATACTGCACTATTTCTTAAAGAAATGGACGGAAGTAATAGGCTTAATTCAGTCATCGTTTGTTTGTATTTTAACCACAAAGAAAACAGATAGCCCTAGCAACTTAACTGAGAAGTGAAACCTCAGATTTTCAATATCCTTTCCAATAAGCTGAACAGACCACTGATATCATTGCTCTTAATTCTAAATATTCTCCTTTACTATCCTGTAAATATATTTACATTTTGCAGGTGGAGTATTCCAGTGTGGAGTCCAGATAATATGGTCTCCTCAGCTAACATGGCTCTTTCTCTGGATTTCATGGATAGCTTTGTGTCGTGCTCTCTATCCCTGGCAGAATATCATGATGCAACTTTATCACGGTGTGACTTATATAACAAAATGTCTTTCATATCCCCTTTCTAGGGTCAAACAGAGTCAATAGGCTGTGTGCCCTGATTCTTTGCTTTATGTATGAGAAACACTGTAGGAAAATGGCATGGCAGAGGGTATTAAATTCCCATGAGTGAAGCTCTAAGACAAACGGGCCAGACTGCTGGCTCAGGAATGCCAATACTGGAATCTACATTTGAGTTTCAATTCAGTGGATTAGTTGACCACTTATAGTCAACAGGGAAGAAACCGTAGGGATTTTCTTGCTCGTAGCTTCTTCCTGGATTTTATTTTCACGTGACTCTAAAATGTGTGGCATCTTTACCTTTCAGAGTTTTAAGTTTCACATCTCATAGAATAAATACTGCCTTCCCTCCCTTCTTTGAGTTGGAAATTTTTGAATACAAGCTATCATATGTGAAAGTGCTTTCTATATAATTGGCATTCAAAAAATGAATGTTGAATCTAGATCTGAAAGGAAAGTATCCCTTGCTCATCCCCCCAATTGGCTCCACCTCACACCATGGGTCCCAGGTAATAAACATGGAGGGCACCGAGCAACTTGACCCAATCTGCTGTTGTCCTCAGACATTTGTCAACCCAGTTCCCTGAAAAGCAATGAATTCTAAAGTAGTTGGCAGTTATGATGTTCATACAATCTATTCTGATTTTGCTATTGTAAAATTTACACTAAGACTGAAAATAGTTTTGCATTGTTGGAAATGATACATGGTAAGTGTGATTGGAGTGTGGGCTCCTACTCAAGTTAATCAGTTGACAGGAATCTCTGGAGACTCCTCTTCTCATAATCACTCTGTAGCACTATGCAATAGAAATGCTTAGGATCTGGGTAAAGAAGATGTGGACAAAGCTCATAGCTCTGGCACTTATTAGCTGCATGATTGTAGATAAGTCATTTCACACAAAAGAACTTGAATTTTCATAAAAAAGTAAATATAAACTACCTCATAGACTTATTGTGAGAGTCATATAGAATAATGCATGGAAAGGACTTTGTACAGTGCATTAGAATGAGAATAATAGTAATTTTTTTTCATAAATCCTGTTAAGGTGGTGTTGTTTCACATGAGTGAAATAAGTTGGTCATATCCGCGTGTAGTTTTCTGTGTTCCCCTTGCTAATTGTATGGCATTTCAAACAATGTTACACAACTATTCTAAACACTAATTCTAGAGTGCTATTGACTTCCTCTTTCAGAACAAAAAGACTCTTCAGCATGACACCACTCACAAAACTGTCGGGAAGAATGCACTAAAGAGTACAAAAAGAGGCATGAAAATCACAATATATAACTCTCCTCCAGGGATAGTCTCCAAATACCTAGGACACCAATAAAGTATATAAAAGTCACTCTGAAGCTTAATTCTGAACATTCTCATGTGGCTGGTTATTTTATGAAATTAGCTAGAAGGGAGGACATAATAGAAAGAGGACTGGATTTGCAATTGGTTTTTTTGTTTGTTTGTTTGTTTTTTGTTTTTGTTTTGGTACCGGGGATCA